ATATATATATATATATATATGTATATGTATATATGTATATATATATATGTATATATATGTATGTATATATATGTATATATATGTATGTATATATATGTATATATATGTATGTATATATATGTATATATATGTATGTATATATATGTATATATATGTATGTATGTTTTTGTTTGAATCTAAAGGACATTTAGATTTGACTATGACAATATTATGGCTTGTGGGTATTATGACACTGAGTCGCCCTCCTCCTCTCTCCCTGGACCTTTGACTTTGGACATTTTTTTGTATTTGTGTAACCCTGATTTGATCCAATGTCCCAGTTAAATTAAAACATTGATTTCCTCTTGGTAAAGTCCAACAGTGGAAAACATTAGCAAAAACCTGAAATGGCGTTTTAGTGCAGCATACATTTTTTTAATGTAAAATTAACACTTTTTTTTTTCCTTGTGTCTGTACTGCCATCTGTTGGTGATGCAGGAGCTGAGAAATGCTCACAGTGAAGAAATCATGGACATCAGACGTGAGGAGGAGACAGAGAAGTCCGATGAAGATTTGGAAGAGAATCCTAGAAAGAGGCTCTGCACCCACAACAACAATGGTAGGATTGGACATTTCTTTATTTCATATTTCAATTTAAAGGTCTGTTTATTTATTCATGAAGTCCTCCTGTTATTACATGTCCTGTATTTACAGTGCTTTCAGGGCTGTGGACATCTTCGTCTCCAGATCAAGCATCCCTGAGCGAGGAGAATGACTCATTGCGTTGGCAACTGGACTCGTACAGAACTGAGGTGGACCTGCTGACAAAAGAGCAGGGGCTGTACAGGCCCGAGCTCCAGATGCAGCAGCTGCAGCAGGGCATGATGGACTTGCAGCACGTATGTTCTTCAACGCTTACCCTAAAATGATACGGAAGAATTTCAATTCTCTGATTGATGGAGCTCTTGTTGTTTCTTTGGTCATGCAGCAGCTCGTAAGTCTGCAGGATAAACTCAAGTGCAAAGAGGCGGAACTAGAGCAGGCAAGGGAGGAGCATCGACAGCTGGAGGGCGAAGTGCTTGCTCTGCGAGAGAGGGTAAGACTTAGGTCTTAGACCAGAGAACACGACTTCATGTTTATGTATAAAGGCATATCTCAAATAGAGGTGAACAACACACAGATTTGATTTACTACAGTGAACAGTTTCAACACGAATCCCTTTAAATCTGTTCAATTCAATGAAATGTCTCTGTCGCAGCTGTTGATGGATGGGAGGGAAAGCATTGAAGCAGAAGTCCACGATATGGTAAAAAACAAACAAACAAACAAACAAAAAAAACCCCACTACAAATCCAGTGGAACCTCGGTTTAAAAACTTTGTAATTTGTTCTTGAAGGCCATTAGTGAACGGAAAAGTTTGAAACCTTCCAAAAGTTCAAACCTTTTCAACGGTATTTTGTGTACAGCCTCATACACGAAACCAATGGAAATAATTAGAGCTAACAAAAAAGATAAACACAACCTGAATAAAGCTATAAATTGGAAAGGCAATTTCAGTCATCCTTACCGGTGCTGAGGAGTCGTGATTGCTCAATGTTCCCTTCTCTTCCTCACAAATTATTGTCTCTGAAATACTGTCGTAGGCAAACTGCTTTTCGTTGATCCGTTGATCTGTAGCAACTTTTCCACTTCTTCTAATGTCTGAGATCTTTGCTTGGTGATCATAGTCACTTCTTTGGCAACCTTAGCTTCTTTAATTGCTTCCTTCTTCTGAATGATGGTACAAATCAACAACTTTGCTAAGCCAGATCTGAAACACGAGCGTCATTCTCATGCTTTCGTATAATCTTTTTTCTCTTTTATTGTTGTTCTCACTCCTTCTCCTCCCTCTTTTCACCTTTCTTATGTTGATTTATGGAATAAGAAATTATAAGAGAAATGGCACAGCGCAAGAAATACCGGCAAAATCAGACAATAGTTCAGCAACCGGGGCAATTTTAAGTTCATAATTTTGTTCGACAACCGATTTGTTCGAAAAGGGAAATTTCCACAACCAAGGTTCCACTGTACATAATTTTGCCAAAAAAAAGGTTCATTTATATATACATTTACAATGCATGTTTGTGTATGTGTGTGAATACAGGAGACCTCTTGTGCGCCGCCTCTCCTCGACAGCAGAATCAGAAGGAATAATGTCGTCTCAAGAGTTGGAGTCACGTCAGAGAAAGAAGCTCTGCTGCTGGGTAACAGAAATCATGAATACTGATGTATTCAGTTCATTTTAGCTTTTTTTTGCTGAAATAAATTCAAAGTCTAACTCTGGTTAAAATTGCTAAAATTAAGAATAAGACCATCTTAAAAAAATGGGATTAAATTAAAAATAAAACAACGTTAGCCTAAAATATATTAGAAGGCTTTCGTGCTGATTTGTGATCATTTTTTTCCGGAAACAAATTGGAAAGAAAAGCAGCTATTTTTCTCTGTTTACTGTAGGATTTTGTACCAAAGACTTTGTGTATTGATCCATGAAATACTGCTTAACCTCCTATGCTTATGGTGGCACTGTTCCATACGAGGGGTTTCTGTTAAAAGATATCCCACAGGCCCCCGTTGCTGCTGCCAATGTTTCACTTCAGAAATCCAGGAAACGAAACCTAAGCTGCAGAGATTCGGTGCAGCAGTGTAATATCACCCCTTTACCCTTTATAATTTTTGTTAATCTTTACCTTTATTTCAAGATCTCAAACTATTATTAGGGTATCTCTTAATTATTTTTAATAATATTTTTTAAATATAAGGGAGACTTTTTACAGGAGCAGCAGGCTTATTTACAAAGAGATATTTGACAATTTATTTTGGGTATTTTCTTAAGATGTGAGTCAACAGTATTTAATTGTATGCAAAAGCTTCCAGGTACTTTTTTATTTTTGGCTTTTTTTTTGTAAAAATCCAAAGTTCTTGGCTATTTAATTGTGTTGAGTTATTTGGCATAAGACAAAACAGCAAAGAGTTACCGTATTTTTCGGACTATAAGACTCACCAGCCAAAAAATGCATAATGGAGAAGAAAAAAACATATACAGTATATAAATCGCTCTATATATTCTAGGAGTAGCAGATATGGTACATAAGCCTAGAGTGCCCTCTAGTGGCTGTCAGTGTGAAAATAACAAACATGTACATTTTCAGTGGTACAAGAGTAGCAGATACTGATACACAAGCCTAGAGTGCCCTCTAGCGGCTGTCACTGTGATACAAATGTAATATTATATATTTTAATATTTAAGTCTTAAACCCAGCCAAAGGATGAAAAAAATTGTCTTATAGTCCGAAGAAAAAGGTATAGCTAAAAAAATGCATGCTATGCATTTAACTATGTTTGGCTAAATGCAAACATTTAGCCAAACATAGTTAAATATTATTTTAAAGAAGAGGGGGTTTCTTCTAACACAACTACACATCACAGTAAAGCAGGAAATGGGTGGAAAATATTATTTTTCTCTTTTTCCCTTTTTTCTCAGGCATCATCTCCACTTTCCTCCATGTTCATCCGTTTGGAGCAAACTTGGAATATTTAGAGTCATACATTCACAGATTGGACTCCAAGGTAAAACCAGATCACCAGACAAGGCTTTGCTGCCACAGGTACAGCTTCATGAAACACAGAACTTAATGTTACGCTCATCTCTTATCCAATCAGGTCTCAGGGGTGGAGATTGAACGTCTCATGCTCCGCCTTCCCTCCATGTTCCGTCAGGAGCTGAGCGGTGTCGGCGCCACATTGGAGAAAAGATGGAAGTTTTGTGGATTTGAGGGATTAGGTTCCGTGATGACAAGGCAACGTCGTACTTGACTCCAACCAACTGGCAGCTGGACATGTGACCCGAGGTGGTTAAACCAAAGCCAAATGAGGAGAAGCATTGACCGTATCCACCAATCAGGAACCTGGAGGCCTTGCTGACATGGACTTCCTCCATTTTAAGTAGGTTGAAAAGTCTTTTTTTTGGAAACCTTTGAAAGCACCTCCAGTTTGAACACGGACAAACGTTGTTTTCATGAACTCACTTTGGCCTTGTTTTTTTAACATTTGAGAATGGGGGGAAAAGTGACAAAGGGGATTTTGAACCTCTGACCTGCTGCTTCTTTTGCCCTGAAGCATCAGAACGTCTTATTTGTTTTTATTATTTATGATTTAACAGTGTCAACAGTCGGTTTTGTTTTTTTAAGTAAAGAAAATAAAACTTTAGTGTGTAATACTTTAACCCCACATCATTTATGTTCCATTTTTACCAATTATACCAATTATGGCAGCAGTCGCCACCCAAATCACACTGCACCGTACCAACCCCCTAAACCTTCCTGCAGGTGCTGAATCCACTGGAAGGTACCAAGCCCTTTAAATTTACTTTAAATTTAAATTAACTTTAAAACCAACTTTAAACCCAACTTTAATTTTTTTTCACAATAGTAAGACTATAGTCTTGCTTCTTCTGGTGATATTTTGACATATCCAAATATGACATTTTTTGGAGTTTCTGTTCTAGTATGTCTACGCTGTGTCCAAGATATGATAAAAATCTTATGCTCCTGACAACCTCCCAAGGTATACAAAGACCTGAATGAAATGTCAAAAAAAAAAAAGAATCAGTATTCAGACTTGGGATGTGCTGATCATCATGCTTTATTAAACCAATAATTGGAGACAATTCAAGGAGGCTGCGGAAATTAGTCACAACTACAATTACTAACTTTCATCAAAACCAAAAACACAAGGGCGACCGTGCCTCTTTCTGCTGAGGCTTTGGTGCTTAGCATTGCCCCTGCCTAATCGACAGGTGAACTACTACAAACTAACACACAAACACACTGCAGGTCCTCCATAAATGGCCCTGTCTCTGTGAACAACCGCATCACAGCAGCTCTCCTTAGTGTAATGTGATTGGTCAGGTTTGGTGGTACAATTTTTTTGGAGCAGCCGATGGAATTGGTTGTTCGCCAGAGGCAGAGAACCAAAAAAAAAAAATAAAACAAAAAAAATATAATTAAAAGAAACATTATAGCTCAGGGAGTGCAGGCCGCTCGCACTGTGAGCATGTCATGTAAAAGGGTTTTGATGACTTCATCAGACGTGGCACGAGGTCTAGTCGCACTGCTTACATGAGGGTAGATGCAAACAGTGCTCAGGATCTCGTGCTTGGGTTTGGATAATTCCGTCTCGGATCAAGGAAACATCAGCAGGGAGCCTCTCTACCTGCTGAGGCTATCTTAAGACTTCAACATAATAGTTGAGGCACAGAGTTTTAGTTTCTCTAGTTTAACAGGGTATTCGTTCAAGACTAGAACTTTCTCCAGTTAAAACACTTTTCATTTTCACTTTGTCATTAATTACAACCAATACATTTTCTCCCATAACCGTTAAAGTCGGCTATATACATTATGTACATGTCACAGAAGCCTGAGGTAATAAAATCCTCAGTCATATTTATCCACATTTCATAACAACGTTAGACTGTAGTCTAGTCAGGCAAAAATTAACGTCACGTTTGGTACAAAAATACTTCATATTTACAAGAACAGAAATTGAGATCTTCACCGCATTGATTCTTTCGCCTAAAATAATAAATAAAAAGGCATGGAAGAAGAGGAAAAGGGGGAAAATAAAAAGCTATAGGTTTCATTTTTACACTGATCGAATGCTAATGTGAACAGTTGCTGTATCTGATCCAAGCTCATTGGACAGTTTCAGGGTGTAGGTTCCGGCGTCTTGCTCCTTGACACCGGTAATGATGAGGGTGGTTAGGTCCTCAGTGGTCTCTATATGGAAGCGTCCACCTGCTGTCACCTCGATTGGTCTGCCACTACGGGACCATTCAATGGTTTTGGCGTCACCGGAAAAGGCACATGTAACTGTCAGGACTTTGCCTGGTTCAATGCTAATGTCCTCTGGGAGAGCTTCGATCCTGGGAGCCGAACCTGGAAACCAGGAAGAAAAAAAAAAAATACATGCTGAGTTTTGATAAGTCAAAAGGTAGTTCTCTTGACATCTTGTTTGCTTGCTAGCACTAGCTTGTAGCTTGTTGAAAAGTTTTTAAATGTTGCAGTTGCGTAACAATTATTTACAAAGTGATATTAGCACTTTATTTCCAGATGAAAACCGGATCACTAAAGTGGAATAAGGGTATGAAAGTCCAACACCTGCCACACCGCCACCATGGCCACCTACTGAAACTGAATTTGTGACCACCTATGGCCACCTACTGAAACTGAATTTGTGCTACTAAGTTAAACAAAAACTGAAACAATCTGAAATAGCAACTTACCAATGGTTCTGAATGAGGAACCCATCTCTGCGAGACTGCTAGAGCTCATTGCGTACGACTCGGATGTAACTGAGGACATACTGGACATGGACATGGTCTCAAACTTTATATTGGCTGCTGTGCTGCTAAAGGAGCTAGACCCCATCAGGGAAGACATCATTGCCTGCTGGGAAGAGGAAGAAAAGGAAGAGGACTCCTCCGCTGTGTGCATTTCTTTCCTCATCATCATGGCTGAGCTCTTGGAAGATGATTCCTTCTGACTCACCAACATTGATCCTGTGGATTGTTTAGAAGACATTAAACATACAAATCCTCAAAACATCAAGAAATGTATTGTAGTAGTGGGTTTGAAAAGATCACCTTGCTGTGTCAGCTGCTGCTCTTTGTAGGCAGTGAGCTGCATGCGAACAGACTGGAACACTTGTCCAGTGAAGGAGAAGGACGATTTGCTGACCCCTCCCTCTGATGTCATCTCGCAGACATACTCTCCTTGATCACTGTCTGTCAGGTTGTGAATAAGGAGGTTGCAAGTGCCTCCAGAGTGCTGCATCTCAAAGTGACTGCTCTGCAAAAGTTTCTTTCCATTGACGTACCATACCACCTCCTTAACACAGGTCTCACAGACGCAGGTCATCTGCACAGAGCCTTCACAGGCTACTGCTGTCAGCTGATTTAGGATCTTTGGAGGTTTCGGAGTCGGAGATTTGACAGTTGGGGGGGACACAATCCTCTTGGGGCCCAAGGTTGGAGTAGGAGACTTCACCCTTAGAGGTGATTTTAATTCCTGAGGCTCAGGAGACTTTAGGGCCCTTGGAGATTTGATCCCTGCTGGCTCTGGGGTCTTGATGCCTCTTGGTGATTTGATTCCGGCAGGTTCTGGTGACTTTAACCCTCTTAGGGTCTTAGGCTCAGGAGATTTGACACCACGTAAAGTTTTCGCCTCATCAGAAATTGGTGACTTGAGTCTAGGCTCTGGAGATTTCACACCAGTAGGAGCTGGCGATTTTACACCAGGTGCTGGAGAGGGTGGAGTTGGTGCAGGAGACTTGACACCTGGTGCAGGAGACTTGACACCTGGTGCAGGAGACTTGACACTTGGTTCTGGAGATTTCACAGTAGGTTCTGGAGACTTGACACTTGGCTCTGGAGATTTCACAGTAGGTTCTGGAGACTTCACAGTAGGTTCTGGAGACTTGACAGTAGGTTCTGGAGACTTCACAGCAGGTTCTGGAGACTTCACAGTAGGTTCTGGAGACTTCACAGTAGGTTCTGGAGACTTGACAGCAGGTTCCGGAGACTTCAAAGTAGGTTCTAGAGACTTGACACTGGGTTCAGGTGATTTTGGAATAGGGGATGTCACAGAGGGTGCAGGTGATGAAACTTCAGTTGATGTGATGACTTTGACCTCTTCTATAAGAGCTGCTCTGTGGATGGTTAAAGTAAACTGAGCTTCCTGTCTACCTTCTGAGTTTTCTACCACTACAGTGTAGATCCCCTCATCTGATGAGGTCACAGAGTAAATCTCCAGACTTGACTTGTACTGAGTGGTGGTGACCTGCACATTGTGAGATGATACTATAGTCCTGCTCTCATGCCTCCAGGTTACGCTGGGTGCAGGTTCTCCGTCAATATCACAGAAGAACCTAGCTGACTCTCCCTCTGTCACAGTCATAGACTGAGGCTTTGTTAGGATCTTGGCTGGGCGAGCAGGCTTTGTCTTTTCAACAGAAACCACTTCAGCAACAGCAGAGGCAGTCTTCTGTCTGGCTTCGCCTATGGTGTGCTTCAGAGCAAACTTTTCAGAAGAAAAGGAGGAGTCGGACGAGAGGTACTCAGCAGATGAGTACTTGATCGACGAGTCGTACCTCTCAGCAGAGGAGAACCTTTCAGAGGAAGCGGCGTATTGTTCACGTGTGACAACTTCCTCAGTCTCTACTAACTTGGTCTTGCTCTCCTCCACCGCAAAGTGGCTCTGGGAGGCGTAACCAGATTTGAAGTGGGTGGCGTGATAGTGGTCAATCCGACTTACTTCAGGAACATTCACTTTTGTAACTTCCTCATCTCTGCGGCGTGAAGAGAAGGTGGTGTAACCAGTCCCAGATACATCCAAAGTAGCATAATCAGAAGCTTCTCCCTTGGTGTTGGAGCACACACAGCGGTAGGTGCCACTGTCTTCGTCTTGACAGTTCAGAATAGTAATGGACAAAACACCACTCATGTTGGAGAAAATGTGCTTGTTGCTTCTTTCAGAAATTGCACTTCCATTATGGAACCACTGGACTTCAGCTTCAGGTTTTGCCTGGATGTTCAGGGTGAATTTGGTTTCTTGACCGATAGGTATGCGATGAGACCGCATTCTGAGAGTCACTCTGGGAGCATGGTCAAGGCTGAAAGGAGTTTGGGTCACAACCTGATACTTAGTCTCAGACTTAAGAGCAGCCTTTCTTGCCTCATAGCGGGACATGATGTCAAAGCGGGCAGATCGCTCAAACCTGGAGGAGGAGCGGGACGACCTTTCAACAGATCTAATGGGACTTGGGGAGCGTGGTCGGGTTCTTTCAGGTGTGGGGGACCTCCTTTCCACTACGCCTTCATCTAAGTCCACAGGAGGTCGGACCCGTGTTTGTCTAATTAGCTCTGAAACTGGACGCATTAACTCAATATATGTGGGAGACAATGACCGCCGCCTCCTCATGAATTGAGAAATTGTCCGTTTTTTCTTGGTCTGTTCAACTTCGACCACCTCCTGTCTGGCCTCATGGGTTCGCTCAACACGCTCAGCAACTCGGACCTCCATTCGGACAGGGCTACGAACTGGAGAGGCAGAAAAACCAAGTTCCAGCTCATCCTCAAGCATCATTTTCTCCTCCTCTTCCCTCTTCCTCGACAGGTAGTCGTCCACAGACATCCGTTCCTCGCTAAGATCTCCCAGAGATCTCCTTCTGGATTTGAAGGATACCTCAGATTCTGGAGTGGGTGAACGGCGTGCAGGTCTGACAGTCTCTAGGTCATCCAGGGTGAGTTTTGATATACGCCATCTGGGCCTGTACTGGTCTGTGATT